ATACAGCGCGTGAAGCAGCGCGCACTGTTAAAACAACATGATAGAGGGCGCTGTCAATACAATGCATGGAGATAGGGGGCGCTACCTATACAGCGCGTGAAGCAGCGCGCACTGTTAAAACAACATTATAGAGGGCGCTGTCAATACAATGCATGGAGATAGGGGGCGCTACCTATACAGCGCGTGAAGCAGCGCGCACTGTTAAAACAACATTATAGAGGGCGCTGTCAATACAATGCATGGAGATAGGGGGCGCTACCTATACAGCGCGTGAAGCAGCGCGCACTGTTAAAACAACATTATAGAGGGCGCTGTCAATACAATGCATGGAGATAGGGGGCGCTACCTATACAGCGCGTGAAGCAGCGCGCACTGTTAAAACAACATTATAGAGGGCGCTGTCAATACAATGCATGGAGATAGGGGGCGCTACCTATACAGTCCTTCACTATGTGACCTTCCCTCTCCTACCTTGGTGATGTTGACCTCCCTCTGTAACCCCTTCAGTGCCGAGGCTAGTATGTCAGCACACAGATCCAGCTCTCGCTTCTGTTCAAACTGCTGACGTAGATGGTGTACGGCCATCTTCATGAGGATGAGTCGCGACTCTGTAATATACGCATAAACATACGTATGCTCAGTCAGCTAGCTACGGTAAGACGCACGCATGCGCACGCACACGCACAAACGCACGCACATACGTATGCTCACACACGCACACACACACACAAACTGCTGACGTAGATGGTGTACGGCCATCTTCATGAGGATGAGTCGCGACTCTGTAATACGCACACATATATTCAGTTAGGTAGCCATGGTAATATATACGCACACACGCACACGCATGCACACAGACACGAACACACACATAGCAAGTAAGGGTAGGTAAGGTAAGTAAGTAAGCTTCAGTAAGTGTAAGTAAGTGTAAGTAAGTGTAAGTAAGCTTCAGTAAGTGTAAGTAAGTGTAAGTAAGCTTCAGTAAGTGTAAGTAAGTGTAAGTAAGCTTCAGTAAGTGTAAGTAAGCTTCAGTAAGTGTAAGTAAGTGTAAGTAAGATTCAGTAAGTGTAAGTAAGTGTAAGTAAGCTTCAGTAAGTGTAAGTAAGTGTAAGTAAGATTCAGTAAGTGTAAGTAAGTGTAAGTAAATGTAAGTAAGTGTAAGTAAGTGTAAGCAAGTGTAAGTAAGTGTAAGTAAGCTTCAGTAAGTGTAAGCAAGTGTAAGTAAGTGTAAGTAAACTTCAGTAAGTGTAAGTAAGTGTAAGTAAGTGTAAGTAAGATTCAGTAAGTGTAAGTAAGCTTCAGTAAGTGTAAGTAAGCGTAAGTAAGATTCAGTAAGTGTAAGTAGGCTTCAGTAAGTGTAAGTAAGCTTCAGTAAGTGTAAGTAAGCGTAAGTAAGATTCAGTAAGTGTAAGTAGGCTTCAGTAAGTGTAAGTAAGCTTCAGTAAGTGTAAGTAAGCGTAAGTAAGATTCAGTAAGTGTAAGTAGGCTTCAGTAAGTGTAAGTAAGCTTCAGTAAGTGTAAGTAAGCTT